GAATTTCAGATGTCCGCTACCCTTAATGCAAAAACTTCTTTCCGATTTCACTCTCACATGGTTGCACTCTAACTTTAAGATTGTAGTGCCTGTTTCTAGAACTCTCACTCTCAAATTGCTTTATCATTTTGGAGACAGTTATGATCCCAGCTGAAGATAGTACTGGTTAGATCCCAGAGTGAAACCTGATTTGATGGACCATACATTTTATTTTCCCTTTTATTTACTGTGGAGTTCAGTCACTGAACATATTCACAAGAGGCTATCACAACACTTCTAGCAAAAAAACACCAAAGTTGATAAAAGAAAAGAATTGCAAACTATATTACATTAGATATAACGGTTGAAATGATCTCATTACAAACATCAAAAAGGAAGATTTATTCCCTTCACCTCAGCAAAAGGCAGTTAAACCTTAGTGAAGAGTTAGCCTAATTTTCACACTAAAGCTTCTTGCTCAGCTGCGTTCAGTTTCTGTTTGGCAAATTGCCGCACATTCACTAGATGCTGTTTTCTTCTGTTTAATCTATCCGTCAGAGACCCTTAAAACGAACTGCTAACACAGCTCACTATTAGTTAGTATGGATTCCCCAAACACTCATCTTCAACAGCCTTGTAAGATGTCTTCCTTCCTGACACCCTCAAGACTTCTGCTTTAAGAGCTTCCTTCTCAATGACATCTAAGTAACCGAAGACTCTTCCTAACATTGACTGCTTGTACACTGTTGATAACAATACTTCTGCTGTTAAGTTCCTTCTCCCTGCGTGAATCCATTTCGGCCCCTTTCTCTCTCTCTCTGTCTGTCTGTTTGAGGGCCATAACAGTCAAGCCAGCAAGCACCTGAACTAAATGTATGGTTATTCATTTTGCCAAAATCACGCAACTTCTTTTAAATATAGGTTTGAGCTCCATGTTCAAAATAACTTTCTGGCCTTCTTTAAAAAAAAGTCAGATCTGTGCAGATCAGAAGACTAAAATCCAATTTTCCTCCACTTTAGAACCCAGGTTCCCAAATAATGAGGATATATGATGAACCTTCATCACAAGGCCCTAATGAGATCTCCTTGAATTTTCTAAACACAAGGGAATACAACCAGGTTTAGGCAAGCTGCCCAAATGACCTAATCTTAATATTATTCTGACAATTATTGTGCTGTCATTCTTCCACATCTTCACTGAGGGTTGGTGCCTGAATCTGAACACCGCACTCCAGAAATATTCTAACCAAGGTTGTGTATTACTGAACTCTCATAACTCTCTCAGTTCTGTATTCCAGTTTCCTTGAGACAAAGGACATCATTCCACTAGATTCAAAATCTCTATACCTGTGCATTTGTTTTTGTTGAGCTCTGTCTATGGATGTTTAAATAACTTAAACCTCCACAGCTCTCAGTTTATCACCATTAAGGAACTATTCTGATTTGTCTTTCTTGTATCTATGATGAAATGTTTCACACCATTTTCACATTGAATTGCATTTGCCATAATTTGCTTACCTTTTTATTCAATTACGGAATGTTGTAATTATGTCAGCAGTTATTGGCCTTCCCAAAGCAACGTAGTAGCTTGCTCAGCCATCTGAGAGGACAGTTAAGAGTCAACCAGATTGTTGTAGGCCTGGAGTCACATATAGGTCAGAGCAAGTAATTGCTATGGGTCTGGAGTCAGGTAAAGATAACAGATTTTGTCTCTAAAGGAGATGAATCAGCAGGATTTTTACTATAATCTGATAGTTTCATGGTCAATTAATTAGGTTTAAATCCCAGGTGCCATGGCTGAGATTTGAACTCTTGTCTCCAGATCATTCCTCCTAGCCTCCAGATCACTAGTGTAGTAGCGTGATCATTATGCTACCATATCTTCAATCTAGCTTTGTCCGTTTATAACTTTCTGGTCCCATCTGCATGACTTACTGTGCATCGTAACTTAGTGTTATCTATCAACTTGAATATACACCAATCATTTCCATTATGCCAGTCATTGATTGTAAATCGGCTGATCAGCTGAATCAAAGTACAAATTCTTTGGGAAGATCATTTTCAAATTTTGACATTCAGACAGCATTCTATCTATCACTACTCCTGACAATCTACACATCACAAGAGTGCCTCCAATTCATTCATTTTCCTTTTTGTTAATAGATCTTTTTGAGAATGAGTCATTAGATAAAAGCCAAGAATACAACTCATCCCTACCTTGTGAAACGTTCATTGATACCAATGATAACATGAATATTATTTGGCCAAAGATCAGCTAGCAGTTTTGTCTGAACCAGAAACATGGGGCAAGGTATTTCAATATGGTTTAGAGTGTCAGGATGAACGTGTTAGGAGCTGACTAACCCTCCACTGAGAAAACTTGACATATTGCATGTCAATTCAGTCTTTAGGAGCAGACAGGAAGAGCATAGGCAATTTTCTTGATATATTTCAGATCTGGTGTTCCCAGTTTACCAGAAGCTACCACCAAATTTAGAGGTCAGCAGCTTTTGCATCATAAGGATTCCCAGTTGAGGCCTACTCTTTAGGGAATCCAGTGGTGAGAAAGTAGACAACTTCTACACTCTTCTTGTGGGATGAAGACATGGGAGAGGGGGCTTCTGAGGCAGGACAGGCAAAAGCAGGCTTGCAGATGTTACCCCATGCTTTCCTCTTCCATGCCTCCAGATTACCCCCACCACAATCTGGCAAGCAGACCACCCTTGTTTCCTACTTGAAAAACTAGTCAGGAAGACATGAAATCAAGGAGATGATGAGTTGAACTCCTTAAGTGGCTATTAATTGCCCTTCCAAGTGGCTATTAATTGCCCTTCCAAGTGCCTTAATTGGTGGCACATCACCCATGGACCTTTTCACACATAACTCAGTGACTAAGGTGACCCAGTCTGCATTAGATTTACAATGTGCTCATGATCGTTTCAATTCTGCATATGAGAGACTCAGTCTATCCTTGAATGTTGTCATAGCAAAAGTCAGGTATCAACCCAGGACCTGGCCAGCCAAATATTCCACTTCTAGCATGTATTGAAGGAGAGAATCTGGAATATGTTGAGCACTTTGAATAGCTTGGCAGCTGGCTGTCTCAAAAGGTCACCATTGATAAGGAGATCCAGCACTGGATCAGCTGCACCAACACAAATTACAACAGCAAGTGTTTGACAACAAAGACCTCAACAATTGCAGTGTTGTTGCCATTGCCAGACTCCTGCATCAAACTGAAACCTATACTGTCTCAGCAACACGTAAGAAATGTTCCGTCAGCAATACCTCTGGCTCATCACCTGAATTCAATGGGAAGCTCAGTTGAACAAATGCTGGTGTCCTACTTGAAGCCAGCTCTGCATAACTCCTGCAAAACCAACATTGATGGATTTGATAATGTATTTGTATGGCAAAAAAAAAAGTGTTTTGTCCTATTCTTTCAACTCTCAAATAGAAAACATTCCAGGAGAGGACAAAGAAAATGTTTCAGATGGACGTTCTGAAACTTTTTTGGTGCATGGTAACGTTACTACCAGCAACTGGGAGGAGATGGCTACCAATCATTCAAAATGGTATCAAGTTGTCCCTCAAGTTTTGTCAGACTTTTAGTTACAACATCTCAGTGATTAGGCAGAAAAGGAAAGAAAGAGAAGCAAACCCTGCTCTCTGGCTCCCATTTTGTCAGATGCCATGCCCAATGTACCCAAAGATCTGTGGGGGCAAGACTCAGTAGCAGAGTCACATGAGGACCCATGACATAAATTTGCAACCTTGTGTGGGTGGCAACAATTTCTTTTTAATTTTTCAAAAACTACAATCAAATCACCTCTTCATATCCAAAGTTCCAGGGAATACTGCCCTAGTTTGTGTCATCTCTCCTCATAATTTGACACTTGGAGTCCTGGAGTGTCATTCTGCACCACCATCAAGGCCAAAATCTCCTTACTAGGTAAGGATGTGCAGAACTACTTACATAACTTTAGGCAAGGTTTTAGGTACCAGAAGCATGGCTTTTACCTCCTTATATTTTTATCCTCTAGATTAAAAAGGCTAGTATTCCATTAGACTTTATGATTATTTCTTGTGCTCGTTCATGACAATTTAGTGGTCTGTGTACCCAGACACCCATGTTGCTCTGGGTCTTCTCTGTTTGATGTATTCATACTTTCCTATATTGAATTCCATTGGAGATCATTTTACCCGTTCACTTCATCCGATAATACGTTTGTAGCTTTACGCTTCCATTGACTGTCCTAAATTCGGATAAAAATGGTCAATAAGTAGTTTCCCAACACAGTGCTTTCCATGATACTACTAGACACATTATCCCAATGAATGTTCCTGTCCATTATCCCTATGCTCTGTCTTCTGCTGTTTAGCCAATTTCCTAACCAGGTCAATAATTTGCCTTCAATTTCACATACTTCAATGTCTCTGTGCTATAGAGATACTTGACAAATACATATACGACAGATGTTTTCCCTAGAAAGTCTCACTGTCCTCAAAATTCATCATTTGCAGACTAGACACACAACCTTTTCTGTCATATCTCAATGTATTTTTTTTTTAACTGGTGGTAGTTTGTTTTTATTTCTGCACATTAACTTGGACTAAAACAAAAATGCATAAAATTTAAATACTTACGGCCTCAAGCTTACAATAATTACTTTATGTTTTGGAGACAGAAAGTAGCATTTTATTCCCCCAAAGCACTGAATTCCTCCATTCACAAATTTTGCCCTCCGCATATGCCACATTCTATTCTGTGATCATTCATTGTGTTAAAATTGCAGTGGTCAGCAATGTTTTTAGAGTAAGAATTTGCCATTTTGTTTTCAAGTTGTTCCCATGAAAATTATCTTTATTTATCTATAGTTAGTACTTGATTGGAATTGCCTCAGCTATTAAGTCACTTTGAGGTATATTTATTGCATTCTGAATGTTTGTTTTGTAAAGCATTTTTGGAGATAGTTCCAACAGTACACAGAACGCTCTTTCTCTTTACTTGTTTTACACAGAATGTCTTTGGAGAGAAACCAGCACTTCCAGAATATAAAGTTGCAGCTATTCAGAAATCCAGGTTCATTCTACTTCATTACGGCACCTTCAAAGCTGGATGGGACTGGCTGATCCTCTTGGCAACATTTTACGTTGCAGTCACTGTTCCGTACAACGTCTGCTTCAGCATCAGCAGAGATGACCAGTCTGCTGCTTCAAGAAACCCTCCTAGTGTGAGTGACATCTTTGTGGAGATCCTCTTCATGCTCGGTAAGACTTTCATCCCATCAAGTTAGAAAAAATACCCCCAAAATGAGCAACCATGATTTCAAGAGAAATGGTCCACATTTTCCTAGTGACATGCACCTTTGCACATTGTTATGGACCCATTATAGCACAGGAATGCACAAAGGATAAGGAAATTATGGAGTAAGTGACTTATTCCATCAGTAATACCATTCCATTGTTTCCTGGGGCTTGTGTACTACCTTTACCCTCACTTTATTCAGTTAGAATTTGGCTATGTCCCCTTTAAATCAGTTCTGTTCATGATTTTCATACAATTAAGCCTATTTTCAAGTTCCTGCCTCTTAAAAATAATAGTGACCTGATAGCAGCTTGATTTGTCGTCCCAAATCAATTTCCTTTAAGCATGTTTGGCTAGCTTAAGAGATAGCACAGTGTGGAGCTGGAGGAACACAGCAGGCCAGGCAACATTTGGGTCAGGACCCGAAATGCCAGCTTTCCTGCTCCGCTGATTCTGCCTGGCCTGCTGTGTTCCTCCAGCTCCACACTGTGTTATCTCTGACTCCAGCATTGGCAGTTCTTGCTATCTTGGTTAGCTTAATGTGTTTCTCACTTTTTTTCTCTGTGTATGATGCTTTAAAAAACTTTTCCAAAAAAGTTTGGTCCAAAATATCAAAGCTGACTAAAGGAATCTCCAGAAATTTTAATTGCAGAAAAGAATAAACCGATAAACAGTTGACACGCACAAATAAATGGGAAGGAATAGTGAAAATGGTGAAAAAGAACAGTAGGATAGGGTAAAGAACAGTACAATTTTGAAACAGGGCGAATGAACTGAATAGGTTACATGCACTGGACACGACAAGGGCCAAGTATTGTCTCTATCTCTCTCTCTGATCTGTTAAACGTTATTTAGTAAATCCTGACATATGTATATCAACCATGTAAAGCAATACAGATCATTTTACTGTCAGCAGCAAAGTGATAGCACTCACCACTGACCTCAAAGAAAGCTTTGCAGAAAGATGTGTGCATCCCTAGTGGTACGGATTACGCCTTTCCAGCTGTTAGTTTAAATCTGGCACAAAGTCAAGGAGATTCCTAAGTATTTGGAAGAAATGATATCATCAGCAGAATAAGCAAGCAGTCACAATTCTCTCAAACAGAACCCCACAAAAATTCTATTTTTTATATTATTTTATAAATATCCAATAAACGATAGGGATGCACACATAGAATCGAAGTAGAAACTAAAATATCTTAAGCAAACTTGTAAAAGAATACTTAGACAAAAGTGAGTTTTATTTTAATCATAACAGAGACCTTTCGCATACTATAAAATTTGCTTTTTCTGGGCCAGAGGTCATAATTAGGATCTTGACATAACATTGAATACCCAGTTCATCTCATTCTACAGAGTGAAATTTTGCAGGGCTTTTTACAGGGGTACTAATGAAAAAAGCAAGTTCTTACAACAGTCAAGGACAGTCTCTCTCTCCTCACCTCTCGAATTCAGTGCTGTTTTCCATGTATGGGCCTAGCTCATAATGAAGCCTGATCCTTGCAGACCCAAGCTGAACATTGGTGAGCATGCTATTGGTGACTAACAGAGAGGACCGTCACTTATTTCTTTCATTACACTACTGACAATGGAGAGTAAACTGATAGTGCATTAATTGCCAAGATTTGATTGGTTTTGCTTTTTGCAGTCAAGACTGTAGAATTTGCCTATTTTCCTATTTGCTGGGTAGTTGCTTGTGTTGTAGCTGGTGTAGAATGGCAGATAACTTTCGACCACATATCTTAAGTATTGCAGGCAGTAGCCTGTCAGGCAAATAGTATTATCTATATCCAGTGCACTGAGCCATTCCTTTTTATTATGTGGAGTAAATCAAATTTATTGTCCATTGTTGATCTGATTTTAACTTCAACTCCACATTTCTTCCTTTTGCCAATAACCTTTGATGCCTTTGCCTGTCAGCCATGTATTTTTGGGCACTGGCAACACTAAAATAGTTAGCACAACTAGTAACTTCAAGAACATACGAAGTAGGAGCAGGGGTAGGCAATTCAGCCCCTTGAGCCTGTTTTGCCATTCAATACAATCATGGCTGATCTCATCTCAGCTCAATTCCACTTTCCTGCCTGCTCCCAATAACCCTTCAACCCATTGCTAATTAAAAAAATGTCAGTCTCCTCAAGCTTACTCAACATCCCAGCATCCACCACACTCTTGGTTCGTGAATTCCACAGATTCATGACCCTTTGAGAGAAGTTATTTACCTCATCTGTTTTAACTCTACCAACCCACATCTCAAAACCATGATCTCTCATTCTAGACTGTCCACAAGAGGAATCATACTTTCTACATCTACTTTGTCAATCCCCTATATTTCTAATTTACCTCAATTAAATCTCCTATAATTCTTCTAAACTGCAGACAATATAGGCCTAAACTGCTCAATCACTCTTCACAAGACAAATCCCTCAACTCTGGAATCAATCTAATGAACCTCCTCTGAACTGTGTCCAAGACAACTTCACACCTCCTCAAATAAGGGGACCAAAACTGTATACAATACTCCAGGCGCTGTCTCACTAATACCTTGTACAGTTGCAACAAAACTTCCCTACCAATTTATTCCCTTTGCCATAAATGCCAACATTCCATTTTATTCTGTACCTACACGTTGGCTTTCTGGGGTCCATGCACAAGAACACCCAGATCCATTTGCACCAAAGCACTCTGCAGTTTCTCTCCATTTAGATAATAAGTTACCTTTCTGTATTTCTGACCGAAATGGACAATTATTTCACTTTAGACTCCATCTACCAAATTTCAGCCTATTAATCACCCTATCCATATCGGTTTGTAAGCATTGGTTTTCTTAATTGCAACTTACTTTCCCACCTATTTTAGTGGTATCTGCACTTATTCAAATTTTTACAAATGCACCTGCCTAAAATAAAATTCATTTTAGATGCAGTTGCCACTTGAGTGATTAAATAGGTTGAAGTCAGAAAAAAAAGACAAATTGATCATTCACTTTGCTCTTCCCTTCTCACTCTGCGTCACTGAATTTGTAATAATGTCAAATGAAAGTCATAATGTGTCCTGTCCACAAATTAATCTGAATGATGCATTACATTAATTGATTACTACTCAAGAAACTAACTTGAGTAAAAGACTCAACAACAACAATAACTACAGTCTGTGAAAAAGATGCAATTCCTGATGGGACCTGAAGTGTCAGATTTTTAGGTGCAGAAATTGGACCTCACTGTACCTGTTTCATGGACAGAAAGCAGGTATAGAGTGTCCCAAGTTCAAGGACTGAGATCCTGTTCCACACAGATGCCTAACAGCAGCGAATCCAAATGCAGACACCTCAAATGGCCACTGATATATTAGATAGTTAGAATATGCAAATACAGGGTCTGCTTCAGGTCCCCTTGCATAAATTGGAAATCAGAGAAAAGCAAGAACCAGACCTACTCTCCACATCTTCATTGGCTACTTCAGCCTAAGCAACTGCTGCTAGCAAAAGGTAAGTTCTTGTTAAATTTCTAACCATTGTTGTGAAGCCAAGTGGAGTCAAAACCTGATCATTCCCTTTCTTATTACTTTTCTATCAGCCACAATGCCTCAGGATGTGATTTTGAGACCACTACTGGCAAGGTATTGGGCAATATTAGTTTTCTAAAATGTTCTGCTTGTAGAAGCAGAACAGGATCCAGCAGATAACAAGGTGCAGAGCTGGAGGAACACAGCAGGCCACGCAGTATCAGAGGAACAGGAAAGCTGACATTTTGGGTCTGGACACTTCTTCAGAAATGGGGGAGGGGAAGGGGATTCTGACAGTTCCTACTATCACAGGATCCAGCAGGTTGCCCCAAATTATTAAAACAAAGTCCATAGTCCAACTACAAGCTGCCATTAGGCATCCTTGGTGGTATATGTCATGAGTGAAGGTGATGAATAAAAAGCTACTACTTACCCATAGTGCAAAAAATTCTTTAAACTATGTACAGCAGCTTGAATGTTGTTATTTCATAACCCCACTCTCAAAGTATATCCAGATGAATTCCTACACCATAATATGTTTTAAAAGTTTCAGGTATTTCAATGATTCAAACAACCACTTCAGGTTTCAGACATTTTCAAGGTCTATCACATTACTGTTGTAATGTAGGAAACACATCAGCCAAATTACATATATCAAACTCCACAGATTTTAATGAAGCAAATGACTGGATAATCTTTTTAGAAATTAGTTGTAGATCACCAAGAAAACTCCTCTTCTTTTCTTTAAATAGTGCTTTAGAAATATTTACGTCCCGCTGAAGCGCAGTTGGAGCCTTGGTTTAATACCTAATCTGAAGGATAACCAGCGATCACTGAAGTCTCAACCTAGATGTGTGCTTGACTTTCTGTCATAACACTGCACAATCTTTGACTCAAAGGCAAAAGTGTTACCCATGATTCGTGGCTGACACTTAACTTTCTCTCAAAGACTGAATGTCAATATTATAGTGGCCTTGTTATTCTAGTTAACAATATAATTTATATTCATTTGGGGATACTAACTGGGCTAGCATTTATTGCCTTGAGAAACACAGTTCTGACCTTGGGATATAGGAGACTTGATGGGGCTGAAAGGCCCCTTTCTGGACTGTAGAGATTGTAATGATAACGCTGAGGACATGCCTGGTGTATTCATGACACGTTAATAACAACATTATCCAGGATTTTTTTCTTTAAATGGAGAAGTTTGTCCCATAACTAAGTTATCTGTTTCCATTTTACTTATGGTTGAGCCCAATCCTTTTCCAAACATATTCCAGAATCTGTCTTTAATTTTCCTGTTATAACAAAGGTTTCAGCATTGGGGCTGCTTCTGATTTATATCATTGAGTTGCTTTCCTTTTTTCGTTGAGTTCCAGTTAAAATTTTAATTTCATTTTCAAAGGGTAAAATGATTGTCATGATCCTCAGCAGAGGCCGCAAGACAATGGACCTTTTA